TATAAAAGGATTAGAGTCTGAGGGTCTTTGAAACTCTCAGAATTAAAAAGGACAGAGGACCCTGGAAGTGAGCCTAAGACCTCGTCAGCCATGGGTGGCTCACACAGGAATCCCAGCCATGGAAGAATACATTGTTGGTGGTGCAGAGTTAGAAGTGGATATGGATCCTGGAGAGGAGAGGCCAGATGTTAGAGTGAAGGATCACCAAGACTGCCAGTTCCTAGGTGTAGACTTGGCTGAGATGGATCATAGATTCTGCTGTGACCAAACCACCCTGCTATCAGATGCCCTTGTGGCTCTTGATGGCATACGTAGGCTTTGGTAAATTTCCTCAGACAGAAATCCAGCTGCTTCTGAATTAATGTACTCCATGCTGTATGTGTGTAGTCTAAGACCTGGACTTGGGAGACTCAAAATTCTGTTCTAATTTGCCAAGTGATCTTAGGCAAGGATTTGAGCAGTATAATGAATAGAAGCAAGATACCTATTTGTTTCAAAGCCAATTCCAAATGAACTATCGTCCTCCAAGCCAGAACCACTCCCTAGATGGCTGAGGTTACAGGAAAAATCATGGAAACCGAAGCTCAGGTAGAAGTAAGAAATGGAAACAACTTCCCACCTCACCCAACACGGGACTCTGAAACTTAATTCCTCTGCCTAGGTGGTGACCTTGAGACTTTTCAGGCTCTACTTCTAGCCTGGAGTGGAGTGACGTCTTCCCTCCCTTAGAGTATTTTCTGAGTACCTACTAGATACAAACCTCTGTGCCCTGTAGAGTGAATCAGAGCTGCCTAAGACATATGCCCAGCAGGAAGGATACAGGTGATTAATAACCGTGATGCCATGGAAAGAACTCCTCGCTCTTGCCTTAGACCTGCTCTTCCAGGGTGGGGTCTGGCTAGACCAGCTCTCAAGGGTGGAAGAGCAGACAAAGCTGCTCTGAGAACTGCCTGCCACCCACCCACCCACCAGCAATATTCCTCTCAGGATGACCGGCACTTGACCCCTCCAGCGCTGTGCATATTGTTCATATCCGTTCACATATAGTGATGTTAATGCTAACCAACATCAAAGACATTAATCAATGGGCATCTATATGCTTGAAGGATGGGGAAGCTTCCAGGTCCTGCTATCCAGAGGCTGGTAAAAGAACTTTGTCTTACGACTTGGACCCTAGGGCCTTCCTGTGTGGCTTTGGCCAGGACAAACCCTTTATATTCCAAGTTCTTCATCTCTTCAATGCGGGGCCAGGGTCACAGAGGGGGCTAAAATTTCATGAGTAGTGATGATTGATAGCAACATGCTTGCCTTGCTTTCCCTTTAACATTTGTGAGTTTTATTTTGTTTTTGGAAGATTGAATTTCTGAGCATCTCTGTGTAAAGATGGGAAATGAAGCCAGGACTGGGTGCAGACTGTAGTGGTAAAGCTAGGTGTGTACAGTGGGAATAATGTGTTAACAGAGGGAAGTAGGATTAGAGAGAGATAAAGAGGGAGACAGAGATGGAGTCTCTTGAAAGGGCCACTGCTCATGGGAGTTAGAAATAAAGACTTTCATTGGTGCCATTGAGTATCTGAAGGCAGAGGAAAGAACAGCTGCCACCTAGTCATTCAAAACACCAAAACGGTGACTAGCCATGGCTGCTCAAGTTGGGTCACCTTAGAGCTTGCAGAAAGATATGGTGGCCAGGACCTTTGGACTATGAACAGAGGGGAGCCAGCAGGAACAGGAAAAGCCCTGACTCACAGTAAAACCAGATCCAGATGTGGCCATGTCCACCAGAGCCGGGAGCAGCAAGCACAGCATGCCCCGGCCCCCACCTGCCTTCAGCAGCAAATAGTTTCCCAGGCTTCTGATGTGGCCCCTGGCTCCTGCAGTCCACGCTCACCATCGAGCTCTATCCAGCATCCCCCTGTCAGCAGTTGCTAGGACTACTGATGCAGGCCACGAAGAGGGAAAGGGCCTGCTGATGAAGTTAGCAAACCCTATTAGAAAACAGGCCAAGCCACTCCAAATAGAATTTTTATGTTTCTCGTGATCTTCGATGACTCCTGTGAGGTTTCGAAATCTCCAGTGTGGTGCCAAGGTTAGATTCTTCCCAACAGTTCTTTCTCTTTCAGGGGCAGAGCCCTCAAACACAGCTGCGTCCTCTGGGAAGGAAATGTGCTCTCTCAGTATACCAGAGTCTTCCTAATTTGTTTGAGAGCCACTGTGCGCCTGGTGTGGGAGTGCAGTGAGCGAGCTTTCCTTAAGGAGACACAGTGTGGGGATGGACGGGTGGGGGTGGGGTGGGTGTGCTCTGAAACTATCACAGTTGAGAGTGCCTGTCATGCTATTGTTTATTTTATACTGTCCTACTCCTCCCTCATTCTCCTCAACATACACAACACATTTCAGACACCAACACGGGATGTTTGCACTGAAAGAGGTTGACGAATGCCTGCCCCAGGGACTCCGCTGCTGCCGCCTCTCCAGCAAGCTCTCCTGCCTCCAGAAGTCACTGGAGTTTCATGCAGTCAATGCTGCACTGTTGGACTTGGAGCGTGACTTGAGCTGAAGAAGAGCATGCAGTGTCTTGCTGCATTTCAAACACCCCTGGGTTACCTACACCAAGGAGAAACAGACACCTTGCAAGAAAGAAAAAGTCAACTTGATGACTAAACCAGACTTTAAGCCTTTCTGGGATGTTTTTTTTTTTTTTTTCACCCCATGGTCTGAGTTGGCTTTTGTCACACCATCCCAGCACCTCCAGGTACCAGAAACAGATGAAGTTTTGTTTTGTTTTGTTTTCATTCGAGACATTTCTCCTTTCTCTAATGATATCATCCCTGGAAGTTGGAGATACAACAGGAGGTGAATCATGTGTCACTTTGCATCTCTTCTAGAATTACATCAGCCAAGCGCCCTGAGGAGCAGTGGCAAAAGCCAAAAAGCCAAGAAGAGAAAGAGTTAGGAAGGGCAAGGCTGCGGAGGAAGGAAGCTGGTTCTTTTTCTATCTGAGTTTTTATTTCATACTCCTCAGACCACCTCCTCGCTACTCACAAATCAAATGCGAAAGGGAAAAAAAAAAAAACTTAAAAGAGATAATTGCCTTGTGCTTATTGGTGGCTTAACTGTCTTTGTCACGTCTACATGCATCACTGACGAGAGCCAAACTTGGCACATTGTCTGGCTAACGGCGAAGGCGCCCACTCCCAAGCAGTAGCCACATCTTCTCCACTATCTTACGCCTTTATCTGTTTTGTTCGGCAGAGGAAATGGGCAATGTGGAAATGATTAGAAATGTGAACTCTACGGGCTGGAGAGATGGCTCATCGGTTAAGAGCACTGACTGTTCTTCCAGAGGACCCAGGTTCAATACCCAGCACCCACATGGCAGCTCACAACTGCCTGTTACTCTAGTTCAAGAGGATCTGATATCTTCACCCCAATGCACATAAAATAAAGGTTAAATAAATTATTAAAAACAATATAAAACAAACAAAAACACCAAGTGTTAAAAAAAAGTGAACTCTATTGGACAGAAGAACAATGGCCCACACAGATATCTGCTGGGGGTGTTGACATGGAAGGTCACAGCCGGGTGGGATGTGTCTTTCCTGACCTCTAACTGGACATTTAAAAATTTCATTCAATGATATATATCTGCCAGAGGGGACGAGAACGCTACCAAGTCAGAATAGAAGATTAAAAGGTGTGGCCTTAAGAAGATTTGAATATTTAAAAAAAAATTCCCACCCCACCTCTTTGCTTTTCTTTTTAAAAGATAGACTTATTGTTAAACCACTCCCATTAATTAGGAAGAAAATTTCACCCTCCCTTCCTCTCTGATTCCAGTGCATTCCAGTCTCCTTGAGCTCCTTGGGCCTAGCTGTTCAGAACATATTTATGAAGAAAACAAAGCAAAGTGGCCTCAGGACACCAGGGAAGGCCAGGAGTGAGATCCATTTCTGCAACACAGGAAAAGAGGCCCAAGAGGGCAAAGGGAAGAATGATTGGCAGAAGGCAGTTTTGGCAGCATCGTATTACCACTTCCAGCTGATTGGGTGTAGCCCAACCTGAGACATCTGGTTGGAGTTCATAACAGAAACAAACACAGAAAGCATGAACACCCCGCAGCACACACCCACACCAAGCCAACAGCTCCTCTGCCTTGTTCTCTGATGGATTCCCACTGAGCCAGGCTGGACTGTAAGGGAAGGAAACAGGCTGTTCATGCTGTCTCCCCCAACCCCACCTGCACCATGACTCACTCCTGGGTATCTGGAACCTACGACTTTTCTATTTGCTTTTTTCTTTTTTTCTTCTGGGGAGAAAAGCAAAGCAGACCTCACTCCACAGAGTCCCTTTTAGAGTGCTAGTCAGTCTCCAAAGCACTGTGGCAATCTGCAGAGGAAAAAGATTATATATCAAGCTTATACTTGATCATTAGGCTGACCCCAGGGAGGTGGCCAAAAAAAAAAAAAAAAGCACATATCGAGTCACTCAGTAAACAGCCATTCCCATCTAAAGAGTGTGGGCAATTGAGTTTACTCTGATCTCTCCAAAAATTCACTTAAAGAAAAAAAATCCATATGCCAGCATAGTGGTTCACATCTTTGATCCCAACACTTGAGAAGCAGAAGCAAGTAGATCTCTGAGTTCAAGGCCAGCCTGGTCTATATTATGGAGTTCCAGGCCAGGTAGCGTTTACAGAATGAGTCCCTGTCTCAATAGCAACAAACAAGCAAAACCCCACACATACAATGAGAATATGAACTATGCAGAAGGCTGGTCCCAGACATAACACCCCAATTGTCTGATCCAAAGCACTCTAGAAGATGGGAAATATGGTTTCACCATCTCCTTTCCAAGCCCCATCAGGACCACACTATGGGTGGAGGCACACACTCCCTGACACCTCACCGCCAGTCATCTTGGGCAGCATTTTCAGAGGTTTTTCTGACAGCTTTTCCTCTTTATTCTCACCCCACTGACATGCATACGGAACCAAAACAATGCTGCTCAAAAAATAACAAAATGTTTTATACACATTTCTGTATATACAACTTAACAACATTTTACAGCTATCTTTTGCACAGCAAAAGATATATAAACATTCAGCTCTGAGAACAACAGTTATGTACAAAAAAAAGTCAAAAATACTTCACAAAGGTGCAAAAATATTTTACACAGCATCATGGAGTACACTCTTTGGGACAGGAGGGAGGTGTGTATTTCTAAAGGAAAATTCCTTTTTTTTTTCTTTTTTAGATATTAGATGTCTTTAACTGTAAACAAAACACAACTTTCATACCCTGCCCTCCCCAGTACAGTTATTTGAGAAATTTGGCATCCTTTCAAGAGTTTTTAGTCTGAGGTAAACAGTCCAAGCTCTCATAATCAAAAGAACTGGGGGCAGGTAAGCTAGTGCCAGCAAAGCCTCCAATATTATGAGAGTGACTTTGTTAATGAGATATTGATGACAGAGAGAGGCCTCCCAGTCGGGGGGTCTGGAGAGGAAGTTACCCCTCCTTCCCAAGCTCCAGCTGCCTCACAAACAGGAAACTGGCTGCTGGGCACCTCTAGCCCGCCCTTCGCCTTTTCCAACTTCAGCCAGCTCTCCCATTTCCATAGTCTCACCCACCCCAGAGGGCCTGCCTGTCTCTCGCTTGTAGTGCCTGTCTCTCCTGAACCATCTCAGAGCCAAAAGTGCTGGGGCAAGATGGGAGAGAAGCAGCCCCTGGGAATTCCAAACTCAGGTCTGGACCTCAAGTGCATAAATTTCCCTTTCCTGGAGGTTAGGGGGAATAGTACTATGGCCGGGGAGCCACTGTGGGGTGCCAGGCGCACGGAGAAGTTGTCTGGGAGCTTAGCCGGAGTAGGGCTCATCTAGGCTGGTGCCATCAGCAGGACCAGAGGGTTTGCCAGAGGTGGCAGAGGTGGCGTCCAGGCCTCCACCCTCGATAGAGCTCTCACTGCCCGTGCTCTCGCCCGACAGCAGGCGTGTCACCCTTAAGTCGGACTCCAGGGTGCGCACATCATTGCCAAAGCTAAGGTCGCCCAGGTCACTAATAAGCTGCGACAGTTGGGCCTTCATGTCGGAGGCACAGCCCGGCAAAGGAGGTGATGTCCCGGAGCTGGGGCCCAGCGAAACTTCGTTGCCCCCCAACGCCTCCTCGTGGCCATTCTCCAGCGGGTCCAGCAAGTCCCCACATTCCAAGTGCATAGCCACCACCAGCGCCCTCTGTGCCTCAGTGTCTTCCTCTGCTGGGTCCCCATCCCCCGCACGGTCTTCTTCCTCCTCCTCCAGGCAGCCCTCGAGGTGCTCCTCTTCTTCTTCCTCCTGCAGCTCCTCCTCCTGTTGTTCCCCAAGCAGGTCCTCGGTGATAGAGCCTAGCTTGGGAGCGCTGCGACTGCGCTCCACTGGCGGCTTGTAACAGCAAGGTCCGTGCAAGAGCAGCTTACGCAGCGGCACTAGAGGGATGGTGTGTGCACCCACCAGCTCCTGCTGCTGGTGACGCGCATCGTCCCGCCGCTTTAGACGTTTAAACTCTGCCAGAGCGTTGGCAGACGTCTGGTAGAGCAGCAGGGCCATGGCCTGAGCCTTCTCCGGCTTGGATACAAGCACCGCGTGGCAGCGTAGCATTACTGCCTTGTGCTTCAGCTCATGCCGGTACACCCAGGCGAAGACTTTGGGCAGCCGCGCGTCTGCCACACAGTAGGTGACGCGGTGCAGCAGGTAGAGGTGGCCCGGGCGCCGCAGCGCTCGCTCCTCGGCGTGCACCATGCGGATGCCTTGCGCGCTCACCGTCAGCTTCATCTTCGTGCCTTGACGGCCTGCCTCGCTCTTGCTCCAGATCTTGCCCACCGCTAGGTCCGTGCAACCGTCGCCGCGCGCTTGGATGGTGGTAGCATTACCCAGGTAGAGCACGGTGTAAGTGGGGTCCTCACTGGTGATGTGCAGTTTCTTGCGCTTGGAGCGAAACATGCTGCCCACCCGGCTGAGCGCGCCTTCCGGGCAGGCCCTAGCCAAGGAGCTAAGTGCGGAGTAGTGCAGGCTCACAGCGTAGCCCTTAGGCTTGGACGCC